CCCAAGCAGGTTGTCCCCTTGTGCATAATATTATGATGAAGATTTTTTTGCTTTCATTTTATTTTGCTTTTGTGATGCTGCAAGCTGGGCTTGGGCACTTGCACATGCTAGGCAATATTTTACCACTGAGTTACATCCCCAGCTTAGGACAGAGATCTTGAGGTACTAATGTACTCATTAGCTTTTAATTATGGGAAGGCCTAAGAGGTAATATTAATCTGTGAGGACATTCTAATTGGTGATACAGCTTTTTGGAATAACTCTGGTGAAGGATATTTCTTCTAAATTTCTTTGATATGAGTAGAGGTGATGAGGGCAATATTTAGCATTTGTTGGTATACTGCTTACTGTCCTCCTGTACTATAATAAAAGATTTATAAGCATCATTTCATCTATAAACATTTAAGGGCTTTTTATTAGATCCCTTCTATAATGATTCCATGACATTGGAAGGTGCTAATCAGTGGTGTGTATGTAATGACTGACTTGAAATTAATTTTAATGAGCAAATGAAAATTTGGTGGAGACAGAGTAAGAGAAGGGTGGATGAATTTAATTTGTATCAGTCTGAGAAAATACACAAGATGAAATTCTTCTTGAGCCTGGGTGGCTATGGGAAGGCAAAAGAAAACTGCAGAAAATCAAGTTCCAGAACAGAGTGCTGAGGGGTGTGTGTGTGTGTGTGCATGCGCACACACATGCATGTGTGTGCACAGGGACCATTGGAGAGGTCTGTGCACCTGCATCTGTGTTAGCGTTTCTGCCGTGGACCAGAAGTGGTAACTTGGATGTGTGCCTTGTGGCTTGTTGAAAGTAGTCCTTCTTGGGGCCAGGGAGATAGCTCAGTAGAATAAGTGCTTGCCTGGCAAGCTCAGGGTCCTGAGTTCAATCCCTGGTACAGCAATAAATAAATAAATAAATAAATAAATAAATAAATAAATAAATGAAAAAAGTAATCCTTCGTGTGGAACCACCCCAAACCATTAACCCCATCACTTGGTTAAAAAGAAAAAATGGAAAGAAAAGAGTTTGCTTCTTGATCATGTTATTGCTAGAAGTCATATCAAATCCCATACAATAACATTTAAAAATATGCTTTTTGCTTTCTCACCCCAAAACAACGCACAACTGTTTGCCTGCCTGTTGCTACATACCCCTCTCTCTCTCCTTGGTAATTGTGCCATTAGGCCTGGAATTGCTGTCTCTCCATAACCTCCCATTTACCTGCCTCCTGGAGCTTTAATAGAGGACTTGTGTTGAGGGTACTAAATGTTCCCTGACTCCAAAAATACCCAGACATCTCTGTGTGCTCCATTCAACCTCCTATCTATTTTGAGACAAAAACTGTAATTTTGTGCTCCTACAGCAGAACTTCAAACCCAGCTCAGAGGCAGTTCCTGTAACTGCCTGCTCTGCAGGCTTTGCTTGCCTTTTAAGCATTGATTTATTTGCCTTGTGGCTGTGTTAAGAACCCTGTCTTCCCTCATGTATCTGGCCTCAGGAACATATTGTGGGCCCGTTTACTTTGGGCCACACAAATGACATCAACACTATCTTACTAAAACAGAAAGCCATTTCAGTTTGACAGAAAATCTTTAAACCTGTTCAGGTTTTGACAATTTGATGCAAGTATGCCCATCTTCAAGAAAAAACCAGGATATAGAGCTCAAGGAGACATTTATTTTGCTTCGGAAGGAAACCAGTCATGTGGTAGGACTACCTGCCAGGCTGATGGATTTTTGAATGCTGCTCTTCAGTGCTGGCAGAAGCCACTAGCTTTCTCCTGCAGGCCCCGGGCTTGGCAGGGAAGCCTGTGGGGGGATGGCTGGCGCTTTTGAGCACACAGGGAGACAGGTGTCCTACTTTTCATCTCTGCTTTTCACTGATTAATTGGTTGGCCTTGAGAAGTTAATTAAAATCTGCCAAATGGGGATAAGAATGAAGAGATTTTTACCTAGCAGGAAGGTCAGATGGATCAGTGGTATTAACAGTACCCACATGAGGAGCTCCTTCAGGTGCCTGGCAATAGGTAATGTGTGCTGAAATAATTAATTGCTATAAAAATACCAGCCTTCACAAATCTCTGTCTCAAATCAACCCAGGAAGGGACTGCAAAGCCCCGTTCTCATGGGACATGGCTGGGGTGGGTCTGCCTCCAACCCAGCTGTTGGCTGGCGCTGTGTCTTCCTCCGCCTTCTTAGGATGGACGATCTTTGACAAGCCTTCCCCTCAACTCCCCAGGAACCTGCAGTGATAAATGGAGAGAGAGGTCCTTATTAACTAGAATATTTTCACCTTGCCTTTGAAGTTGATGACAAACCAGAAACTGTTACCTAGTACTGACTGTTGTAAAGGATGTGAAATTCACAGGAGTCTTTTCCAACCTCCATCTTCCAATTTCTTTTCATCTCACACATCCAATATACATATGGATACCTATGGTGAAGGGTTTGGGGAGCAAACTGAATACCTAGGGTTCAATGTAAGGTTTGGAACTTTGCATAAACTTTAAGGCAAGCTCTGGACTCAGACTGCCAGTGTGTGAATCCTGGGTAACCCTGCTTTGCCTATGACTGTAGTAGCAGTGGGAGAAAATTGGGTTATTCACCCTTTCTAAGCATTAATTTGCTTCTCTATGAAAATATTAAATATTCATGAAGATACTTAAATACCTGCTTGATTAAGATAATGTAAACATTTAAAAAGGTAATGTTTCTTAGTTAGGTTCCTCCCCCTCCTTTGGCAGAACTGGGGATTGAACTCAGGCCCTTGCACTTGCCAGGCAAGCGCTTATTCTACTGAGCTATCTCCCTGGCCCAAGTTGAGTTTTTAAGTATAGCAGAACTGAAAGGCTTTTGTTCCACACAGTGTTAGGGAGTGAAATGCTAGGGAACAGGCATGAACAGTAAGGCAGTGAGGTAGCAAGAAGGAAGACCCAGTGTGAGCAGGTGTCACTGAGTTGGCCACCACTGTATATGACAGATTTCCTTTTCTTGTGGGACCATAGTCCAAGAAGCCATACAAAATAAGTTTGGGATGCCTTACCAAGGCAAGGAAAGCTTGCTGTATGGGACATTGTTCCAGCACACTGGAATGAACACACATGCTGCAAGAGGGTTCCATATCTAAGCCTTGGAATCACAGGCCAGTGGTGATGGATGAGAATTACATTTGATGAGTAGGAAATAAGGTGTTAATAGGTTTGCCAGACTAAAGCCACTTAGAGTCCAGGCAGACTATGCCTGTAGGGAAAGCTGTACCCAGGGATGAGGACAAGGGGGTCTGAAGTGTTTAAGAGCTGGTTTATACAGTCTACAAAGCACTTGGTATGGTATGTGGCATAAGGAATAGTTAAGCAGATGTTGACTGTTACTGCCTATGCCTATGTGAACAATATAGAGATGCTTAGAGTTGGCTGACCTAGGTGAAGGTTTTAAAAGGAGATGAGAGTATGCAATGTGTTAATTATTGAAACTATCCTACCAATTTGGTCTGAAGCTGTCTCATTGCTATTTGTTTATCAATAAAATTATGGGGAAAAAATAAAAGGAGATGAGGAAGTTTAAGAGAACGCTCTGACTCAAATTTTGAGTTGACTTAACGCCTTGGAGGCTGCTTCTAATATTATATATACTCTAGTCAGTTGTATTCAGAAGTCTCTATAGCAACCACTTTTCCCACTGCAACCAAGAACCTCTGAATAGAAACACTCATCTATGATGGCACGCTCAGACAAAAAAATATAAGAAACTTCCCTTATTTTATAAGAAATGTGAATTTTTCTTGACAGGTTAATTTGTTTTGTTTTTCTGGCGGAACCGGGGATGGAACTCAGGCCCTTGCACTTGCCAGGGAAGCACTTGCCAGGGAAGCACTTATTCCACTGAGCCATCTCCCCGGCCCTGACAGGTTAATTTGCATGTTAGATGTAAAGGGCATTTGTTAGGTGTCTACTCTATATCAACTCCTATACGACATCACTATTCAGTTGGGGAAAACAACATGGAAAAGAATAAATCATTTGCCAAATGGAATAGTAGGTAGTAAACTAGAGAGACTTGCCTTTCTGAGGATGTTTGATTCCAGAGAGCCATGTACTTTCCCTTGATCTCTGTGGGAAAGTTTCACAGGTAAATGCTCATTTCAAGGTATTCCGTTACCATCTTTCAATGAAGAGCTCTATAGATTAGTGAAGTCTGATGCTCAGCTGCATACGTAAGAACTGGCTTACAATAAGAATCATTCCAAAGGTTAGTTATACATGAGAGTCATGCCTTCAGAGGAAAATTAAAATTGTGTCAACATCATTTATAATTTGTTGGTGAGTGGTTCATTGTAATAATTGCTGTTCAGCTCAGTTTTCCCAGTGGGAGCCTCAGACCTGAGCCACTACAGTGAATTGCTGTCCCAGGGTGATACTCCATAAAAAGAAGCATATTTAGAGATAGGAACCACCAGTCCAGTAAAGGGAATAGATACGTTATGGAGTCTAGTTTGAAGCAGATTCATTCATGTTTATTAAAACTTCACAACAAGTAGGTATATTAAAATGCAGTTTTTAGCTTATAATATACAGAGGGCGGGCTATTTAGTGAGGGCAAAAAAGCTTGTCAGTAGTAGAATTATGACTTCAACTCAGAAATTCTGGTTCTAGGGCCAGTGTTACATTTTGCCAAGTGGCTGCTTAATCCTGTTCTCCATGGTATGATCTGGGTGTACTGTTCCTTGTATCATTTTAGAAATCTTAGGTTCCACCCCAGATCTACAGAATAAGCATCCTAGGATGATGCAGACCCATAGGAAAGTTTAAGATGCTAGCTGTAAACATTCGCTGCCCCATACAGTGAAAATATACTAAAAGATCACCTGCCAAGGACTCCATTAGGATTTTTGTCTGTAGGAGGGTCTGGCTTACAGAGAACAGACCCAGGCTGAACCATTTTTCCTGGGGATTCAAAGAAAAATTGCCTGTTGGCAATTGCAAGGTTGACTTCACTTTAGATTTAATGTCTCAGTTGGTTTCAGTGATAGTGGGAAATTGTGCTTTCAGAGAGCCAGCATATATGAAAACATTTCTCAAGCTATAAAAGCCTTGTTTGTTCATTCCAAAAGCATCCATGAAGGCTTACCATATGTCAGACACTGTGCCCTCCAAGAATTCACAGTTTAATGGACAGCGATCAGTGAACATTTCTCTCTAACCACAGAAAGTCATACGCTGGCCGCCAGAAAACACACAGTACTCAGAAGGGGCACCCAGGGGCACCAACTTGCCAAAATGTAATTATAGGGGTCATCATTTCCATTCCTAATCTCTTCTTTTCCTGCAACAGGAACCAGATGGGACCAATTTGCAGGTGCCCTCCAGGATCTTGGAGCCAATCTCAAAGTGTGGAGACCTAGAGGTGGTCTTTGAATATAGAGCTACGACCCAGAAGCTCACAGTGACCGTCGTGAGGGCGCAGGGCCTCCCTGATAAGGATCGAAGTGGTGTCAACAGTTGGCAAGTTCATGTAGTGCTGCTGCCTAGTAAGAAACAGAGGGGCAAGACAAGCATACAAAGAGGGCCCAACCCTGTCTTCAAGGATAAGGTTACTTTTTCCAAGCTGGAGCACAGAGATGTAGCTGCCTGCGCTGTTCGCTTTCGCCTGTACGCTGCCCGTAAGATGACCCGGGAGCGAATGCTGGGAGAGAAGCTCTTCTACCTCAGCCACCTGCACCCAGAAGGGGAAATGAAAGTGACTCTGGTCCTGGAGCCAAGGAGTAACCTAAGTGTGAGTATGCTAAATGGCCCTGCTCATGATGTGCTATTTGAAGGCTTGAAATTGTCAGTCCCTGATTTAGTACATTCACCTTGTGAATTCAGAGACCTCAATTTAATCTTCCAATTGGTTCTCCTCATCCTTAGCAGCTATGATTTGCACTTCATAGTACGATGGGTCTTTCATGCCTGTCTTCCCGATAACCTGATGGATGTGTTTCTATCCATTTTAGGCAATTACAGCAGTAGTACAGCCAAGGACATGGAATAACCTAGAGAGGCAGACGGCTTTCTCACAGGCGGATTAGTGCCCTACCCCTTCCACTCCCAGTATGTGTTGTGCTGAGTCTCAGAGAAGGGACTTTAGAAGGAAGATGCTTAACAAGAATAAGAGCAGTTTGCAGCAGCAGCCCTGAACCCTAGCTGTTCTGAAGGTTCCGTTTATAGGACTGGGCTTCTGCCATGTCTCAAGAAAAGACACCAGAGCTCATATAATACAAGACAGGCAGCCCACTAGTGTCATGGGTTATGCCAGCTTGTGTTAGGATCTCTTTTTATAATACCATGGAAAAATATCAGGTGAGCTATGAGCCTTCAGGGCCAATCAAGCATTCATTCAAAGATGTTTCCTGTCAGGTACCATCAAAGAAAAGCCCATGCAGAGATGAACTAAGCAGGTGATACTCCGCCCTTGAGGTGCTTATCCTGTAGTGGAGGAGCAAGGTGTCTTAAGTGAACCAAGGTAGCTGAGGAGAGAGACTTAAAGAGGCTGCTGTTTGTTTAGCAGGGTTAGGGGAAGTTCCTGTGGTATGATGATGTGCCAGAGCTCAAGCTACTGAGGGAAAAAGAGACATGATATGTGGAGGCTAAGGATTCCAGAGCGAGGGCAGGGTACATGAGTGCCTTGGGGGGAGGGGGCGAGCTTGCCATCTTTGAAGGACAAAGAACGCTAGCATGCAGTGCTGAGAGATCTGTCTATTCAATTTCTCACGACATCTCTGCATCATGAGACTTGAAATCCTGACTTTTGTGTCCTCAAGTCTGCTCTCCCTGCTTTCTCGCTATCTTGCTTAGAGGCAATGACATCCTTTTTGTTGCTAGGGCCAAAATCTTAGAGGTCATCTATGTCGTATCTCTCTTCCACCTGAAACTCCTTTTCCCCCCACAAATTTTACTTTTGTAGTACTGGGAATGAACCCAGGGCCTTCACACTGAGCCAAAACACCAGCTTGTTTTTTTTTTTTTTTTTTTTTTTTTTTTTTTTTATTTTGAGACAGGGTCTCTCTTAATTACTAAGCTGCTCATTCTGGACTCAAGCTTGTGATCCTCCTGGCCCAGCCTTCCAGAGTGCTAGAATTATAGGCATTTACCAGCATGCCAAGCTTTCACCTGGAATCTTCCAAATATTGTCTTCAAGTACAATCAGGACCTGGCTCTCTGCTGGATTGTTGAGTTAGACATCTGTGGTAGCCTGCTTGCTACTGCCTCGTACCCTGCAGACTACCCTTGATAGGAAGGCCAGAATGGGTGTGTTAAAGCATGATACAGCATCTGTCTCACCTCTGTGACCAGCCTGGCATTTATTTATTTAGTGCAGGGTCTTGCTATGCAGCTCAGACTCATAGTGATCCTCTTGTCTTAGTCTCCGCATGGCTGAGATTACAGGCATATGCCACCATGCCTGGCTTCGGTGTCTGGCACAGCATACCCAGGGTTCTAGGTCCAGCAGGGCATCAGGTATGGGGGATTAAATCTGGGTTCTTGTGCTTGTCAGCCAAGCACTTGGGTCTCCAAGCTATCTCCCCAACCCCAACCTTGCTTTTCTTAAACTCCGAGTAAAGCATATCTGCACACGTGGAAACCAGAAGCCACAACAGATAAGAGCAGACCCTGTACTGTAAAGCAGAGGAATAGGGATGATCATGCCCGTATATATTTTGGCATTAGTCTCTGTGCTCTTTATTAGGGGCCCAGGCTGAATGGGCAAATGAATATAGTAGGAAGCAAATTTTAAGGTACCAGCTCTTTCATTCATCTGCTATGTGTTGAGTAGATTTTTTTAGGCTATGCATTGTAAGTTGGGAGATTCACCAGCCATAGCTGCTATGCACTGGAGACTAACAAGGGGTACAGCTTCAGAATTTAATGAAGAGGTAAGTGGTCAATTTGCACTGCTTCTGCAGAAAGTTCTGTGTGGTGCTTAAAAAATCTACCAAAAAAATTGGTGGATTTTTGTCCTCCAGGTAGCAAAGTCTATAAGGTACCTTTCAAAATCATATAGTTCTGGGTCAGTGAGACAGCTCAGTGAACTAAGCTCCTGCTTAGGCAAGCACAGGGACCAGGGTTCAATCCTCAGTCCCACATGCCATGCTGGCCCTGCCCGCAGGTGCACTAAGCTGGCCATTGGGACCGAATGTGGTGGTGCACACCTGTAATCCCAGGGCTGGAGAGGCTGAAAACAGGAGGATCACTATAAGTCTGGGCTGTGCAGTGAGACCCTATACAAAAAAAAAAATAAAAAAATAAAAGTCATCCAGTTCTGCATTTTACAAATTTTCCGTAAAAGCCTGGGGCTCTCGCAGGGATGCTTATGATGTGGTTAAATGGATGCTTCCTTATAGATGTAAAGAATGTTTGGTTCCTTTCATTGGTTTTATTTATTAGGCTCCCAATAAGAAATTCTATACCAACCCCACCTCCGGGGCATGCTGAGACAGTGACTAAGACTGGGCGTGGTGGTGTGTGCCTGTAATCCCGGCCCTTGGGAGGCTGTAAACAGGAGAATCGGTGCGAGTCTGAAGTACATAGTGAGACCCTGTAGACACTGTCCTAAATACATTAAAAAAAAAAGAAAGAATGAAAGAAATTCTAGTAAATGATTTAGGGTTGTGAGAATAAAGCTTTGCACCAAGTCCAGTGCATTTGTTTCTGGAGAAGGCAATGTGTCTGGGAAACTGGCTGGCCTGCTTCCTAGCTAGTATGATACCAATTTGTAGCCTTTGATGACAATTCATGCCCTGATATACTTTGTTCTCCTAATGTACCTGATGGGAAAAGCTGGAGTTCAGGAGAAGCATGCATATGAATGTACATGGCAGAAATCTTGGCCTCTTCCTTGGGCTTATCCAGTGCTCATTGGGTTGCTGAGATCCACCATCCATGCATCATTTTGTCACCAAACAATTGCCAAGGTTCTCATTTTCAATGTAATTCAGTTCTTATAGAAGGCCAAATTTAGAATTTGGTGTGTACTGTGCCTCTCTATACTGCACTGAGAACCAGAACCATGCTGGTCAATATCTAATGGCCATTTGTTTTTATATTTGAGACAGAATGCCTCCTGAATGGCCACATTCATCAAGAGGTGGCTGAAACAGAAAGGAAACTCAGGCTTGGAGTGGATCGGTTCCATAGAAACACACTCAGGCACAAAGTATACAGGAGGGAATTTTGGTCTATATTGAATATATTATTAGCTGTCTGTGTATCTTAGGAGGCTTGATTTACACTAGTAATAACATCTTTTTGTGTTTTGTCTTCAGAAAGTAAAATCTGAATAGAGACAGCTCTTGGAACAAATACGTCAGCTAATAATTCAGGGGATCTCATCTGTGGCCGCACTCCCCGAGCACATTGTAATTCACACTGAGTGCGCTGTTAGTAATCTTTGGCAGTCATTGAGATAGGGTCACAATTTCACCAAACATAGTATTGGCTTTCTCTAACAGAGAAGTGCAGCGCAGGCCAATGGATTCTTTGTTGTTCTCCTCCTCCAGAGTGGAGAGTCTCCGCTCAGCCCATCTGCGGTTTCTCACAGTGACAGTGCTTCATCTACGCAGTCATTGTCACATGGAGGGGCGCCAGAGATCTTGGTGGGGCTGTCCTACAATGCCACAACGGGCCGATTATCTGTGGAAATGATCAAAGGGAGCCATTTCCGAAACCTCGCAGTTAACCGAGTGCCCGGTAAGTGCGTCTGTCTCCTAGCTCTGGTTCTTCCAGAGGCAAGTAAAAGGTTGTATTTATGTTAATCTTAATTCTTTTATTTTTATAGTACAAATGGTCTTGGTATGGCTTAGGCAAAATTTCACAATGCAATACTTCTGGATTTCTAAATAGCTTTATATTGGGTTAGACTGAGGGCTTCTACAGTATCTAGATGCACCTTAACATGTAATGTACTGGCCTGTGTAACTGTATTATTTAAAAGAATGATGTCTTTTCATAAACATGGTGAACAATTATAAGCTTCCAGTATGTTCCAGATCCTCAACTTTAAAGAGGCAGAGCTCTGATTTTGGAGGGGGTTGGACCTGGCATGGAATTTCAGCTCTAGCTCTTCTATCTACCTGTCAACTTTGCCCTAATATTGTACAATTTATATCTTTTCCAAAACACAGTTAACTTATCTGGGGGAAAAAAAGGAAGAGATTTTAATAATAACTCCTCATGGGTTTATTTTGAAATTTAAATCAAATGTTTTATGGTGCTAGGCCCTTTACACATATTGAGAATGGAAGAAATGGTAATGGTTATGATGATGATGGAGAAGGAGGTGGGGGAGGTAGATTTGCTAAAATGCAGGACTATCTGATCTCTTCTGAAGATCAGATAGTCCTGCATTTTAGCAAATCTAAAATGTTTGCAAATCTAAACTGTTTGCAAACAAAAGTGTTTGTGAACTGCAGTATCACTGTACTTTTAGTCATAGAACCCAATTTGAAGTCACCACTGGAAAGAAGGGGTTAAGATACACCCCATTGGGGCTGGGGAGATGGCTCAGTGGAATGAGCACTTCCCTAGCAAGCACAAGGGTCTGAGTTCAATCCCCGGTTCCGCCAAAAAAAAAAAAAAAAAAAAGATATACCCCATGGATTAAGCAAACCAGATTGAGTTACTATTGTTAATTTCCTCAACAGCCTTTTAACTTAGGTAACTATGTGGAAAACATTGGAATATGATGTTAAAAATTAGTCTGCTTTGTAATGATATTACCTGTCTACAAAGGAAGCTTGAATGGGTCAGGGAAATTGTTTTTGTCTCATTTCTGCCTCTGAATCTTATGAAGACACAATGATACCTTAGTTCAGGAACTTATTTCATTCTACAATCCTGGAAAAGATGGACATATTCATATTCATGTGGAAAAGATGGCTGCAGCCTTGTTTGTCACTTGATGTGGAGTTCTCGATTAAAAATAAAATTTTGCCAGGTGCTTCTTCTGTGAACCAAACTGTTTGCAAACAAAAGTGTTTGTGAACTGCAGTATCACTGTACTTTTAGTCATAGAAACCCAATTGGTGTGTGGAATGCTAGCTGCAAGAGAGTCTAGAAATGTTGCTGACCATTGCCTTTCATTTAGAAGCAAAGTAAATTAGAAAGAGGTAGACTGGAGGGTGCAGGGCCTACTGGCCACAGACACTAAATCTTATTAAAAGGAGAACAAAATCAACTCATATGTTGTTAGAAAGGGTAAATAGGCTCTCCCCTCATAAGACCATAGCCAGGGAAGAGACAGGTGAGCAAATAGAAATGGTTCAATTCTTGCTGTTGAATCTGGGCTTGCATTCTTTGACCTCACAGTGTTTCAGACCACAAAGCACAAAGCATCTGTTTTAAGTGGGTATCTTGTTAGCTGAGTTGTATTAAAGCCATTAAAACAAATTAGTAAGGAAAACCTTTGGGTGGCAGAAGCGACCAGATGCATGACCCACATTTTGTGTCGACACTCAGAGCCAGGTGAGAGCTATTTAGAATGCATAATAGATGCTGATTATTAATTGCACAGCTAGAATCTCTCAGCTAGATACAGCTTTGGTTTCCACAATAGCTCTGAATTCACTAAAGATCAGGTTTACTACTCTTCTTGAGCTTTTGCCAATCTCTTTTCCTGCCCTTCTGTGATATAAGGTCTGAACAGTTTTTTTAGGAGCATGGTGGAGATACAAAGCCTAAAGGAGCTGAGAGTCACACAGACATGACCTATTCATGCCAAGATAACAAGCTTTACTTTGTGTACTGGGTAGTAGCAGCCAATAGAGGACATTGAATCAAGCAGAGGCTGATAAGCCAAAATGTGAATTCAGAGTTTGTTATGTACTAAGCTGAGAGTTACTAAACTATTCTGAATCTGTTTCCTGGTCTGCAAAATGGGGGGAGTGGTCATAACAATATATGCTTTACAGGGAGAGATATACTTAAAAGTGTGATCCTGAGGGCAGTATTAGTAGAAATTCCTCAATTTCTGTATGAAAGAAAGTCCTTGGAACAAATAGTTAAAGCTGTTCAGGATAAAAAGGCAAGCCCTAATTTAGAAGTTGATTTGATTCCAGAAGTTTAAATCAGTGTGGCATTTAGTACATGATTTGTCAGAGACAGAGTGTTGCAATTTAACCTACAATATAATTGACACAGTGTGTCTCTGCAACCAAAGTATTGGAAAATAATGCTGTTGTGAAGATATTAATTAAAACAGAAATCCGGTACTGAAGACAAAAGTTTTTTTGTGTGTTCAAAATGCTGGTACTTGAGGAAAAGCCAGTTTAATTAGGAGGGGATGAGAAAGTAGAAAGTTTCTTTGTCATGCTTCTGAAAGGGACCTCTTGGTACTTTCAAGAGCCATAGTTGTTGGTGGCATCGGTTCTTCATTATGTCTTGCCTCATTATTGTACTAACACTGCTTTGACAGTTATCAGACAAGCTCAGGATACATTTTTAGTTCCCATATGGAAGAGAAGAAGAGTTTTATGAGGTAACAGAGCAGAGTTTCAAGAAAGAGGGAGACAGAAAGGGGAGGAGAGCCAGGAGATGAATGGGTTCGTGAGTGGGGAATGGTGGTGGAAGCGACGCCAAGTGTGCCGTTCCCCAGGGAGGTGGGGGAGTGCAGCCAGGGTCTGTGTCAGAGCCCAGTCAGCGGCTGCCTGTGAGGGACAGACATCCTAGGAAGCTAATGTGAGCAAGGTCACAAAGTACTGTGTTTCAGGCTCTTAGTTCAGATAGAGAGGAGGGACATCTACCTAGGGTTGTGATCATGGAAAGAATGATAATTAGTAAGGAAAGAAAAACAGGTCAAACCTGACTGTTGGAAACTTCTGTTGTGTATGGCTAGAGTTTTTCCATCTTTCCAGAGACAGAGACAAAGGCTGAGATTTAAGGGTGACAGTCCTTTGCCTAAGAGTATTTCATGAAACAAAAGATAACTTTGAACTAGCCTGAGTGACCCAGTCAGATGATCATTTTGATATTTTAAGCTTTTCTTCCTAGCAAGATGTGTTAAACAAACAGTAGAGGAAGTTCCTACCTTCTTAGGGTCTTATAAGAAATAAGCCACCAAGCTCTCACTCCCACCCCCAGCTAGCTTCTGAGGTGAAACTCTCAGGGGAAATGGCTCTATGGGGTGGTTTTGACTCCAATAGGTAGGAGCTAATGGGACCCAGGGTGAAGTCCACACCAGCAACAGCCTGCGCTCGACTGCACCTTCTACCCAGTCTCCCCATGGACTGGCTAAAATTCAAAAGGCTGTTGAGGATGTGGAGAATACATTCTTGTGAGTGAAGAAATAGAACAAATGCTTTGGGGGAAAGTCCAGGTACTTTCTTATAAAACAAAATATAGCACTGAGAATCCAGAAGATGCATTCTTAGGCTTTGATTCATGAGTTACTTAAGAATATTTATAGCATCTTGGGCTGGTGAGATAGCTCAGCAAACTAAAGCGCCTGCTTAGGCAAGCTTAGGCAAGTGCTGGGAGCACAGTTAAATCCCAGCACCACATGCAGCACCAGCCCCACCACCAGGGTGGGCTGAGCCAGCCAGAGTCTGGGCATGGTGACGCACACCTATAATCCCAGCACTAGGGAGTCTGAAAGCAGGAGGATTACTATAAGTCAGAGCTGCATAGTGAGACCCTGCAACAACCAAGTACATTTTTTAAAAAGAATATTTATAACATCTTTATTCATAATGGCAAAAAAACCCAAAAGAATCTATTGGAAAATGAATAAACAAAATATGATGTAGGGGCCTGGGTAGAGGAGCTGAGGTCAACATCAAATTTGAAATATTTAAACTATTTCCACAATGCAGACAACTAAGTGTGTTTTTGTGAGTGATGGTGCTGTTGGTAAAACATGTCTCCTGATATCCTATACAACAAACAGATTTCCGTCTGAATTTGCACCAACCATTTTTTTTAATATTTATTTATTTTTATTTATTACATCTATTTATTGTGTGTGTGTGTGTGGCCAGCTCAGCCCACCAGGGGGCGGGGCTGGCTGGCATGTGGTGCTGGAGGACTGAACCGCGGTCCCTGTGCTTTGCCAAGTCCATTTCAAGTAGGTGCTTTAGACCACTGAGCCATCTCTCCAGCCCTGCACCAACCATTTTTGACAACTATGCAGTCACAGTTATGATTGGTGGACAGCCATACCCTCTTGGGTTGGTTTTTTGTTTGTTTGTTTTTTTTTTTTTGCAGAACCGGGGATTGAACTCAGATCCTTGCATTTGCCAGTCAAGCACTTATCCTACTGAGCCATCTCCCCGGCCCCAGCTTTTTTTTTTTTTTTTTTTTTTCCTCTTGGGTTTTTTGATACTGCAAGGCAAGAGATGCTTATGACAGATTACGACCACTGAGTTATCCACAAACAGATGCATTTCTAGTCTGATTTTCAGTGGTCTCTCCATCCTCATTTGAAAATGTGAAAGAAAAGTGGGTGCCTGAGATAACTCACCACTGTCCAAAGGCTCCTTTCTTTTTGTTGAGACCCAAATTGATCTCTGAGATGATCCCTCTACTACTGAGAAACTTGGCACGAATAAATAGAAACCTATCACTTGAGACTGCTGAAAAGCTGTCAAGTGTGTGAAGTGTTCTGCACTCATGCAGAAAGGCCTAAAGAATGTGTTTGATGAAGCAATATTGGCTGCCCTAGAGCCTACAGAACTGAAGAAGAGCCACAGGTTTGT